TATTCTTCTGTTCACTCACAAGTATCTAGCGGACTCGTCAAAGAATAAAAAAAAAAAAAAAAGAAACAAAATTAAAAAATTGAATATGAGAGATATCAAAATCTGCGGGTAATACTCCAAAGTACAAGATTATACAACCAGATTAGTAGATAAAAATGAATGCTTTAAACAAGAAATAAATACAATAAGAGTTAATCAAATAAATAGGATTAATAAAATAAATTAGCAAAAAAATCATATTACAAACCTGCTTTGTCAAAATTTTGCATTAGCATTATTAAAATATCGAGATAGATTGGAACTTAGAAATATACAAAAGGCTTTACAAAACACACAGGCATGGAATTTTGACAAAAATGAATCTGATTTTGATAAAAATTCTTCAGACTTGTATAATTCTAATAATAATATGAAAACAATAGCTAAATTGGCCAATGCTATAGACTGATCTCTAGATGATACAACAATATGTAAAATTATTTTAAAAAATTAAATTAAAAGATCAACAAGATCAATCTAATATAAATATGCCAATCTGCAACAAGATCTGGTAAATAAATGATAGAACTATGATATATATTGACAACAGTATGATCAGGCAGTACAGAAGTATAATTAGTTACAGACTAATACTCAAAATCAATTAAACAGAATATTAGACAATATAACAGAAAAGCGAAACTATATTGGTAAATTACTATATAAAAATTTTGCTTTCTAGTTATTGTATCAGTAAAATTTTCACTATCTATAGCAATGTAGATCCAATAGAGGTTTGTTAGAATATAATAGAGACAGACTCTATGAGTAATATAAAAAATGAAAAAATAAGACCCATGCAGAACGTTAGAATATTTTAAATTTAAATCAACAAATTTTTGTGCTACAGAATAACCCACCTAATATACAATGAATAGGAATAGTAGAATATAGACCCTCAATATTTCATGATTGTGCTAGAGAAGATCTGGAGGATTGGCTCAGAGAGATGAAAAAATATATAGTAGCTAGTTAAATAAATGTTGCACCTGATGTAGGTCAGGTCGCTAAAAGAGAAGAGATATTTGGGTTGTACTATCATATTTTGTGGGCCCTGCATTGAATTGGTATAATACCCACATTAAGGGCAAAAATTGGAAATATAATAATCTTCAGATAACTTAGGTGTAGCTACTTTAACTGCTGTTCGAGCAATAGATGCTGAAAATAGTGGTAATCAGATTGGTGGTTTGAATACTGCAGGAGAATTTTGTAACAAAGCTAGAGCAGAAATTAGTAGAATTGAAGCAGGTGTCACAACTGGTGCTGATATTATTCTGAATGGAATATAGAATAAAGACTGGTCTGTAGCCTGTGGTGAACCTACAGATAATGCACCATTAGTACCAAATGCTAATAGAGGTTTTCTTGCTGTTACAATTGCTCTTGGTATTAAGCTTAGACAACTTCTTTATTTATTTAGTAATGCTTATATAATAGTTGAATACTTAAAGCAAATAGCAGTTTTTGGCTAACTCATACAAAGAGATATGAGTATTGAAGAGTTCTCCACTTGAATCAAAAAAGTTAGTAAATTGCTAGAATAACTCCCAAACAACAAAGAGAGCAATTTATTTATAGCTTAAATCCTATGAATCAGTATAATATTCAAATGATGGCTAAATTTGATAATATTCAGAATAATATTACAAAAGCACTAGCTAAAGTAGAAAAATTTACACTTTCTCAAAAAAATACACTATTTTCTCTTTTTCTTTTTCTGGTAGCCAACGTCCACATA